CGTCTATTCCAAAACATACTACAAACTTGTTCTTAAACTTGCACTTCACTTAGGGTTGCTATGAACCCAGGGAGCAAAATCACGATGACTTCCCCTTACACTCAGAAGCTGGTGTGTATCGCCCCACTTCAAGAAATTCTGTGAGGCTGCCAGTGGGGTGCATAGCAACCCAGACATGGAGACCTTGGAAGTATCTGCAGTTTTATCTCCCAAAAAGAAGTCACCCTTGGCTTGGTTGACAATATATGCCTAGCCTCTATCTGCTTAGCCTCTAGTTTAGTTAAAAAAAAAAAAAAAAACTGGGTATAAAAAATAGATTTACTTCAGGGTAATCACAAGGGTGAGTTTGAAGGAGCATGCATCTTTGTAATAAGGTGAAATTGAGGAACACTTGATGGGATCGAATATAGACATCTTAACAGAACTAGGGAATGATCTTAAATAAACCGGTCTTATTAATGCTTCAGCCTATGTCTCTTTTTCCAACTCATATTACTTTAAAAGTATAAATTTCAGATAAATTATGAATATATATAATTAATGAGAAAAACTGAAAAATAACATTCTTATAAGCCTATGACTAGTTAGCCTACACTTGATTCTTATCTCAATCAATACTCAAATCTTATGATTAAATATCAATATTTATAAAATTTATGATGGTGCCTAATATCTAACACATGCCCAATAACACTTACTGATTCCCTCTGTATACAGAGGGAAACAAACACATTTCTGTCTCCCCAGGTAGCCAATTCATAAATTTGTACAATTGGTCAAAAGAGTATGCACAAGTCTGCAACTTAGAATGCAAACTCCTTGTATGTGAAATTCAATCTTGGTAATAATGTTGTTTTCTATTACATGTTTCTTTTACTGTGAGCTTCTTCAATATTTTTGGAATATAATTTAAATTTTGATTAAAATACTGGGAAAATGACATTTCAAATACATTTTCTGCAAAGTTGTTAACCTACGTCAATATACTTACTAGGTTGGTCTTTGCTAGAAATTTAAGATCATAACATTCAACCACACCTTTGCGTAATAATAACCATAAGCAAAGAAAATGTCTCACAGTAGAGATTAAACAACATCAGCTGTAATATGTACACTCTGGGAAAAATTGTATGTTAATAATCAAGAACCAGCTAGCAATTCCATCTCTATTCACTGGATGTTAACATCTCTCACCTGTTTTCTTCTTGCCCGTATTTATTCCCTGTCAGCCAGTTGATCACTTGGATCCAACAGGGTTTTCAGTCTTTCCTGACTCTAAGCTTCTACTCTCCTTCTGAGACATTACAGTTAAAATTGCCTTGGAGACAGATAAATAGCTACTGTATGGGAAATCAGAGAAACAAATATTCCACTTGGCAGCATGCCAGCCCGCTTTCTAAAGATCTTCTGTAGCAAAGTGACAATTAAGACATGCCAAACATGTTTACAATCTCCACTGAATGAAATGCCTCTGGAAATAGAGCAAATGCCATGACACCTTTTGTCTCAAATATTAATAGCCAGCATGCCCTGGACTTGCCTCTGTCAACCTTGAATGAAAGGATTCTACTGGAGTGAAATAAGGTTGAAAATAAGAGTAACTGAGTTATTCTCTGGTGTCCAGATAAATTAAGCACTCATTCCTTCTACTGGAAATGAGTCTGTTAATAATAGCCACCTCTTTGAATGGCTTAGCTGGTCTGCCCTTGTGTTTTGTTTTTTTTTGTTTTTTTTGTTTCCATTTACATTTCTACTTTTCAACATGTTAGATGAATTTTTTGGCTCAGGAGTTTACAAAAGAAGGTACCTTGACCCTAAAGGCATAATAGAATCAGAAATTTTTATCTTAAAGGTATTATTCAGTCCCAGCTCTATATTTGCAGGATGGGGAAACTGTAGCTCATGTTACTTATCGTCATACAGTCAGGCAGTGGCAGGATGAGGACCAGAACCAAGACTAGGGCACTTTCCATTCCAACATAAATAATAGTTCGTAAGTTCAACTTAATATACATTTATCTGCGCCAATAGCAAATGGGAAAATTTCAGCAAAGATTATCGCTAGACAAATTTTCTAGACTAAAAGAAGTAGTAATTTTCCAAGGGACATTTAATTCAATTCAATTTAATGTTGCTTAAACACCAGTATTTCAGGCATGATATATATATTGTCATTCAAGAAGTGATTAATTTGTTAAACCCTTTGATTAGGTCCACATAATGGGACAGATTGTCTCTTGCTTATTGAAAGGCCTGGGAGTATTGCATGCAGAGAGCCTGAACTTGTTATAACTTCCATTCTGTATCCTGAAGTTATGTTGTTGTGTCATTACATTTGAATTCCTCAAGCAGTCAAACTATAATAATTCCTAGGTTGGAAGCCTCTTTCAACCCATTAGTATATAGAAATACTCACCAGTTAAGATACTTATGATGTTAACTTACTGAGCCACCAAGGATATACCTTGTACATGCATGAAATAAAGAGTTTACACAAAAAGGTAGCAGAGAAGAAACTGCTATTTTGTATCATTTGGATGTTACTCTGATGTCCTCTTCATTTGTGGAAACACCTCATTTATTTTGTTATAGCAATCTGAGGATACACCTATTCTGGCCTCCAATATATTGGAATCTTGAAATGATTCTACTTCTTTATTTCTGCTGCCAGGGTGTTTTTTTTTTTTCTTTCTGATGGGGAGGGTATGAGTTAAGAGTGACAGTGAGTTTGCAGGAGGAAGAAGATGCACACTTGACTGTTCCCCAAACATACACCTTACAGTACCAGTAATGGCAAGACAGACTTGGAATTTAAAAAAAAAAAAAAAAAAAAAAAGGAATAGGCAAGTGTGGTAGCTTGCGTCTGTTATCCCAGCACTTTGGGAGGCCAAGGCAGGTTAATCATTTGAGATCAGGAGTTTGAGACCATCCTGGCCAACAGGGAGACCCTGTGTCTATTAAAAATGGAAAAATCATCTGGGTGTGGTGGCAGGTTCCTGTAATCCCAGCTACTTGGAAGTCTGAAGCAAGAGAATCACTTGAACCGGGGACATGAAAGTTGCAGTGAACTGAGATCACACCACTGCACTCCAGCAGCCTGGGCGACAATGAGACTCCGTCTCAAAAAAATAAATAAATAAAATTAAAGAATGGCCTGAGAACCCGAAAAGTTAGGCTGAGGTTGAAAGTTAGGCTCCTTCTTGATGTAAGGCAGGATTAAGCAAGTAGTAGTAAAGCATGTTTACAGTAGTAAATCCTGTCTGGGTTGATTGGTCTTTAGATAATCTGGAAGAGCAGGAGCTGCCCTCCCAAATCAGTCAATGGTTTTCTGAAAGAGCAGAAATCTTGGCTCAGGAAGCAGCTGTTGTTTCTCATGGACAAATTCCCTGAAGCATTTTTATAAGAAAAGTATTGCTGACAACCACTGAGACTGTAATTTACCATGGGAACTGGGTGAACACAGGCCATAGGGCTTTCTGGGATGCAGCTTAGCAAAGTGGGAAAACCACCCTCTTTATAGTCTGACAGATCTGGCTCGGGTATGTGATTCTCTTTGTGCATTTTAGGCATTAAATGGTTGTTGTGATGATGAACATAGCTATTATGGTTACATCTCTCATATTAGCTCCTCATAGAGCTTCTGGAAACCTTGAGATGAATGAACTCTTACCTCTTCCAAACCTAGTGGTTTCTTCATAACTCTGATGGCATATACCATTTGCAATCTTTTCTTATTTTTGTATATATCTTAAAGAAATTCCATTTAAAACTGGGTGTGTGTTATTTCAAAAATGGCATTAGACTTAAAGCTTAATGTGTGACATCCATCAACAAAAACCGGTAATTCGTGTTCAAATAAATGAAAATCTGGGGTTCTGGGATACCTTCTGAGGGCTTTCAGTAATTGTCTGTTTACATTTTTGGTATGAGGTGGTACATCAGACACATTAAAATATGGGGTGATGAATTTATCGACTCTTTGAAGTAATGTATAAAATTAATGCCTCTGTTTTATCCACAGTTGTGACTTGTTTTGGTATGCAATTTTTATTGAGCTATCTATATTTCCTCACATCATTTCTTAATTATTCTAAGCAAACATCTGAAAAATGAGTAGCTAGGAACTCTAGAGTGCACCTATGAAACAGAAGGCAACTCTCCGGCAACTGGGAGCATTTTCACTGTCATCACTACTCTGTTCTGCCCAACTGAGCAAACTGATCCAGACAAAAACTAAGTTAATCATTCTTGATCTTCTTTTCTGCTAAGAGCCATTGTCACATATTTGTCTGAAAGCTGGAAAATAGTGGCGTATAATATTTGCATCTATAATAGATTTGACAGACTTGATCCTTAAGGTGCATACCAATTTCTTCCCAGTCTCATATGGCCATTGACACATCACTTGTTATTTACCTTGTGCAAAAAGGAATTGTGGCACTTGTTAAAACTATCACTCATATGCAGAAATGTTTTCTGAGGATAAAGTATATATATATATATATATATATATATATATATATATATATAATGTAATAAAGGCATACTTAAATGTTCAGCGATATAGAATGCATTTCCCCTTTGAGAACCAATGTAACCTATACCTCTAATAACCAGTTTTCCTTTGCTTTTGCAAGATTTACATTTAACTATGCAGGATGGGTTATGAATTATCTGAGAGTAATAGTCTACCCCAAAATTGTTTTATTAGCTCATGTTATCAAGAGCTTGAACTTACAACTGAAACCAAATGTGATTTTCTTGATCGTAGAATGAGGTTTAATTGTTTTAATCAAGAGTATTCATGTCTAACAGATCTGTGTATATGTGTACTTCCTACTTACTTACTCTTTGAGTATAAGCTTGACTTAATGATTCATTTTAATGAATAGAGTAAAAGTGGAAGTGAATATGTATGACTTCACAAACTGGATCATAAAAGCACTCTGGCTTCCTGCTTGCTCTCTTTCTCAGATCACTCACCTGTGGGAAGCCAGCTGCCATGTTATGAGGACACTCAGGCAGTACTGTGGAGAGCTGCACATGGTAAAGAACTGAGCCCTCTTGCCAACAGCCATGTGAGTAAGCCGTCTTTGAATTAGATCTTCCTGTCCCTCTTTAAGCCTTTATATGATTGCAGACGTGGCCAACAGCTTGACTACAACCACATAAAGACCCTAAGCCAGGATATCCAGCTAAGTCATTCCCAATCCTGATCCTTTGGATCTTTGTGCAATAATAGATGTCTGAGTTTCCAAGTATTATGCCATGTTTTAGGGTAATACTGATTTTTTACTGTAGAACTTCTCAAAGTCTTTAAAACCTGTTGGTGTTAGTTGTTTAGGTGTAGGATACAGTGTATTCCAAATTGTTTTTTACCAGAAAGCATTCTTTCCCCAAAGAATCTTAAAAGATAATGTTTCCCTAAATATTTTGGGGAATGGCTCTCATAGAGAATTTTGATAGTTCACAGTAACTTCAACAAGAGATCAGATTCACCTAGTTAAGTAAAAATTTCAAAGTGGTCAATTTAGAGAAATTTGGGAGAGCCCACATGCACTTGGCTCAGTAGGACATAGAAGTCAAAAACATTCCCAACCTTTGATTTTCAGTGCATTTCCTGCAATATGCAGAGGGCATTGCTACACCTAATTGGCAGAAATTTATCAGTATCTGATTAAGTAGATATTTTTCTGGTAACAACCCATTGCCATAATAATTCATGAAAATGTACGTCCGTCATTGTAATGCTGGTCATGTTCCATAGCTGGTTGTAAGAAATTATCATGCTGCAAATGTTAAGCCTTTATAATTCAGCTTTGCCATGGGGAGAGAATTTACAAATTAATAGGAAATGTATTATTTCTTTCCCTTCTGAAACTGAAAGAGCCTCATTCTGCTGAAGAAAATTGCTACTTGAATTCAGTTGAGATTAAGACCTTTACAGGGAAACTACACCATTGCAGCAGGCTTCTTCAGATAACACATGTGGAAAGGCTCAAAGAGGAATTACATGATACTTTGGGTAAAGGGTTTTAAAGAAGTTTATTCCTAGGCTGTTTAACTCCAAAATGCAAACATTGCAGATGGAACTGCTTACTATCTGACCACTTCCCTTGGTTATAACAGTTGCCCATGGATGAGGCAATGTGATTTTGGACCACAACACAAGAAAAGGCTTTAATTTCATTCAATCTGAACATAATCAAGGAAGCTCTCTGTTTAGCCCTTGAACTGAGTCAAGCCAACTCAATGAAACTGCAGGCAACATTACTAGCTTCCTTTGTCAGTCTCATTCTCTTGATTTGAACAAATTTTTGATCTGAACCAATTCTCTAACAGCATGCCTTCTTAGTTCGTGAGTATCTCTCAACTGCATATGTTTAATCAAGTACTCACTTATTTCTATTCCTGGAGCATGTAACTTCCTCTTGGTTGACATTGCTGAACTCCTTAGACAACAAATATAATAGTTTAGCTCCGTGGTGCTAAACTAGATGTGATTCCCCGCCTCCATCCCCCCGACCCAGGAAACATTTGGCAATGTCCGGAGGCACGTTTTGCTACCATGTCTTGGAGAGTACTACTAGAATCTAGTGGGCAGAGGCCACTATTAGTACCAAACATTCTACAATGTATGGGATAACTCCTACATTGAGTATTTTTTTAAATGTATTTCTGTATTTTTAAAAAATGTTTATTTCTCTCACCCTGAACCTGACCTTCTCTTCCAATATATGACTTCTACAGTTGTCTTCAAAACAGAGCCTGAGACAGAGGTGTATGTGATATTTGGGTGTGTGCATGCCAAAGAAAGAGGGTGAAGGCAACAGGAGAGGGCAGAGGGAGGCTCTAAGCAAAAATGTGGTCTCAGCTAGAATCTCGACTCAGCCTGGCCTCATAGGGAGCTCTGGAGTGTAAGTCTGCCTTTTGTCAACCTTATTGCAGTTATTGGCTGTGGGTCACCCATGTTGAGGTGGGACTGAAGCTGGGTAACCTCCCAATGAGGTGGCAGAGAAATGTGCTCCAGAAAACGAAGCAGCTGTAAACTGTTAGCATCTAACACTAAAAGCAGCTGATGACAGGGCTTCCAGCTCAGTAAAGGCAATCTGGCTTAGGCAGCAACAGAGTCCACTAGAGTTGTCATGCATGATTTCACTGATGTTTTTCCAGTTTCACACATGAGTTAGTTGTGTTTCTCTTTTTCAAAAAGAGAAGATGTCCTGGTTAAGATTAATAAACCAAAATAGTTTGGCAGAGATAAAAAAAAATATATACACACATATATATGCCTTGCTGATGAAAGTTATTTACCATAAAGAAAATGTACACAGTAATTACCATAGTGCGAGCCAGTAATTCTTGATTAATGTTTAGGTTGAAAATGTTCTAAGGTAATCATCTTATTTAATTCATATGAGATTTATTTTTTTGATTTGCAATAAATACATCTAACTTAGATGGGTCATTCAAGACTGGGTAAATATTTAGAAGAGAAGATTTTATTTTTAGCAGTATTAACTATAGCAACTTCAATATCTCATTATTAATGTGAAGCTCTTGTAGTATCAGCAATGCCTACATTTGTTTCTTTACCTGGGATCCCCTGACCTGAGCTCATTTGCGTATCCTAACTGCCTATGGAGGGTTTTCACTTTGGTGATCCTACCGGCATCATAACTTCAAAGCATCAGTTTCACTCTCAAACTTTCTCTTCCTTTCTGGTAGCCTCACGATCCTAATCCAAGTTGAAGGCACCAGTATCCACCTGGTGCCCCTCGCACAGTTCAGACTCAGATCCCACTCAGGGACTGATGCAGGGGTCCTCTGACTTCCTGCCAGACATTACGTCCCCTCAGCACTGATTTCCACACCATTGCCAAAGTGACTGTTCTCCAGCACAGATCTGTTCACATCACTCCCTCTTTTAAGGTTTGAAGTGCCTTTTCACTGCCAAATCTAAACTTCTCAGGAAAGAATCACAGTTCCTTCTGAGGAGCCTGGCTGCAGGCCAAAATCCTATGTGAGATATTTCAGGCCCAACCATAGGCAGTTTCAAAGATTTGCCTGGCAAAACTCATGGGGAAAGGTGCCTTGCCACGTTAGATGTGGTGCACAGCCAAAGCACTGGAACTTTCTGGAGGGAGTTGCAATCAGGAACTCAGGCCCAGGAGCTTCCATTTGGAAAGCTCCTTATTGGGGGCCTGGGTTGAGGCACTTTTCTTAACTCTTGACTCAGTAATTTTCAACTCCTATCCCTTTCTTTCTTCCACTTTCTACCCCCAGCCTCCAGAGTCTGTGACAGGCAGGAGCCTTTCATTGGGAACTCCTCAGTGCTGACATGATTCCCCAACCTGTGCTATGGGTTGTCTGATTCTCACCCAGTGCCATTCTATGGGGAAATACGGAATACTTGGGAGCCTTTCTCCCAGTAAGTGAATGAGGCTTGACTGTTAAAGTTTGCCTCTTTGTCCTGCTTGACCCCCTCAACCTCCGGCAGCTGAACACTTTCACCACCCAGCTATCAATTCTTCTAGCCTCAGTTCCTCTAATGCATATGGGATTGATTATTATTAGTTGTAGTACTAGTATCATCATTAGCAAATATTTATTGAACCCTTACAATGTTCTATGAATTGCACTAAACATTTTACATGTATTCGTTCATTTAAACCTAAGAATAATGTTAAGATTTGGAACTCATCCTCACTTTACATATTAGGAAAATGAGGCCTATGGATGTTGACAAACAAAAAGCTTGCTTAGGGTGTGGCAGGGCAGAGGGATTAACTCAGGCCAACTGATTTCACACAGTGTGTTCTTAACCACGTTGCAGTATCCTTACACACACACCCTGCGCAGCCCACACAAGACGATTTGCTAGTGCCTACTCATGCCAAACTTTTGTTTGTCCTTCTATCTTAAATCCAAGGAAATTCTATAGATCTTTTGAGATCTAACTCAGACATGAGTTGCTCACCAAGCCTTTTTGCAACTCAAGTTGATAGTTTTTCCTTCCTCAGAGTACTTGTGCCACTCCTCGTACTCCTTTGCACACCTCATTGTAATATTTATGACCTTGTATTTTGGTTATTTGTTTTCATTGTCTTACCCATGGCTTGCCATTTCCTAGTCAGCAAACATTGATTTGGCTAAGTATTCTAATGATTGGCACACTGAAGAGTCTTGATAAATGTTGATTTAATAAAACATGAGCAAGATAATATTTTTGTTTGCATATATAATTTAATCAGTGAAGAGATTCATACATTTGGATAATTTACTTCTCTCTATATCTAGACCTTGGCAATATTAGAGTAAGTTTTTCAATGCACATATAAATTCTAAATGCTGTTCTCAAATGACTGAGAATCAAAATTAGTTATTTAGATATCTTGATAGTATCTTGATGTTGTGTCTTACCAATCCTGAAGTACCCGATCAATGACAAAATTTGAATATGTACCAGACAATGTCACTTAGTGATACTTGTTTTAAATTTTTCAACAAAAATTCCAAAACATACAATCTAATGTGAAAATTATTTAAAAGTCTAAAATGTTTTTTAAACAAAGTAGATAGAATGATAAAAAAAACTACATATTATTCTCTATTGTATAGTGCAAAAAGGGATAGTATATATAAAAGCAAGGTATTTTGATTCAACGGAATGAAATACAATATTTATTCTGTGAATTAATTTTAGAATCACACCATGGTGATTAATATCTCTATTGAATATTGTTCAAATGTGCCAAATAATGGATTGCTTCCAAGACGGTTCATAGATTTGTTTAAGCATGAAAAAGCTGGATTTTATTTGGCAAGGATAATAATCGTGCATTTAGCTTTCTGCTAATAAAAGGCATCCATTTTACTAGCATTAGTAAATATATTTCAAAGTTAGTTTCTAAACAGATTTTTAAGATTAAGCTATAATTGAAAAGCCTTGATAGTATCTATTATGAGTTTAAGTTTACAAATAAAAATAGTAACTTTCTTGCTTATAAGTAGCAAGAGTATATAATAACTAATAGACTTCAAGTCTGTCTAGTGGGAGAATTGGCTTTAATTCATATGCATACACGCACACAACCACACAATTAATAACTAGTTCCAGCTTATCAGTTAATAGGAGTTAATTAGAGAAATAACTGCTGTTCGTATTTCATTTACTAGTAAGTCATTGGAAGAAGACAGATAAATGAGGAGCCAAGAAAATTTGAGTTATTTATGCAAAAGGAAACTTCAGATGTTTACAACAGTCAAATCCCTGTTTTTATCTTTATTCATTCATTTATCATTTATTTATCGAGCACTTATTACATGTACTCTGCTAGTATCCGGGAATAAAATATTAAGTTAAAACAAATGAATTACATTCTAGTGATGCAAACACATAATAAATATTAATCATCATGAATATCTGATCATAAACTAAAGGAAAGGAAAAAGGTTTTATAGCACATATTACAAAGTTATCTGAATTGGTGTTAAGGAAGGCTTATTAAAGAAAGTGATAATGTTGCTGGGTTCTGAAGGATGAGTAGGAGTTTTTTAGGAGAAAAGGGTTAAGGAGTAAAAAGAGAGTGAGCATTCCAGGTAAAGGGATCATATCAATATCACCTTATGGCAGAAAGGAGAAATCTAGTGGAGCTGGAGTTCAGAGCGGTAGAGAGGGATACAAGATGAGTCTGGAGGTGGTGGCATAAAGTAGGCTAAAAGAAGGCATTGTAGACAATTTGCAAATTTAAAAAGAACTCTTTACCTTCAGTGATGAGAAGAAAATGATACAAAAGCAGTTGAATGAAGGGAAAAGATGGTGTTGACTTGGATTAAGGCAATGGCTATGTACAAATACAAAACATATTTAGGTTACAAGTCAATAGCTTGGTGACAGGTGAAGATACAGTTGAGGAAGAGAAGAAGGTATCAAGGATGACATGCCCAGCCACATGGATGGTCGTGCTAGTCATTGAAATAGATTACACCAGAAGAAGGCCAGGTGTGAGGAGAGATTATGAGAGTCTTGGTTCTGATGAGATGGCTTTTAAAATTCAGGATACTCAAGTGAGTTAGCTTGATGAATCTGGAACAAGAAATCCAAGTCTAAAAGTGCAAAATAGGCAGAATAGACTAGGTAGTGAGTTTTTGGTGACTGTATAAACATACTTTGAAAAGGAATGCCAGAAAAAAGAAAAAATAGTTGTAAATTGAGAGAAGTCTAACCCAAAACTTTTTGTAAAGCTAATTCTAGGAGAACAATAAATGGTTTTATGGATATTAGAAATTGTAAAAGCTGGGGTTTAGTGAACAGAATCAAGTCAAAAAAGAGAGCAAGACCAAAAACTCCTGGTCCTTGAAAGCAATCCCTGTCTTTCAGGAAGGGGTAACTGAGTTATGGTTTGGGAGGTATCATGTATGAAACAAGAGGGGAAAAAATCTTTGAGAGGGTTGTGGGGGTGGCTGGAAGAAAAAGAAAGCAAGTAGTGTTTATGAAGCTTTCCCCATATTAAGATAACTGCAATAGGTTACCCTTAAATGTTTCTTTCAGAAATAACCAGGTTATCCCAGTCTATATTGGAACTGACAAATGAGCATATGCAAGGCCAATTTCACTATGAGAGAAAATTTTATTTTATTCTTTTATTTATTTATTTATTTATTTCTGAGACAGAGTCTTGATCTGTCGTCCAGGCTGGAGTGCACTGGTGTGACCTCTGCCTCCTGGGTTCAAGCGATTCTCCTGCTTCAGCCTCCTGAGTAGCTGGGACTACAAGCATGTACCACCACGCCTGGCTAATTTTTTTGTATTTTTAGTAGAAACGGGGTTTCACCATGTTGGCCAGGCAGGTCTTCAACTCCTGACTTTAACAGTCCACCAGCCTCAGCCTCCCAAAATGTGGGGATTATGGGGATGAGCCAGCACACCTGGCTAGTTTCACTATGAGAGGAAGTTTAAGTAAACTCATGCTAAAACAATATCACGCATTAATTGTAATGTTATGAATATTCAAATAAACCCTTTAGTTTATATAAAAACAAAGTTATGCTTACATTTTAATAAGAAATGCAAATGACAAATAAGTTGCGATTTTACTAGACGAGCAAGAATTAAAAACAACAAAAAAAGACAATTTGATCTAGACCGCTAATAAATAGCTATTTCAAATCTTCAGAGTGTCTAAATTTGCATTTTGGCATTCTACCTAAAATTTCCTTAAGTATCTTTGAACTTTTAGCTGTAACAGTCAAATAATTCTACTTATTTTTGACACAGAACTTATGGGATTTGGTCTTTAATATCATGTGTTCCTTAAAAATTTGAGAAATAAGCCCTACACACTATTCGTTCTTTTTTTTGTTTTGAAGGCCAAGATGTACGTTATTTAATTCCCTCCTGGCTTCAGAAGTTTTACTTTCTTCTGCATTACAAGAGTTAAATATTATTGGAAAACAAGGTGTATCACATGAACTATGTAGCACAGTATATAGATCTATGTAAGAAATTGAAAGAACTCCAAAAGAACCACTTCTTTTAGATTTAGCAGCTGTAAGGTTGGATAGAGAGCATATTCTAGAATCTACATTTAGGATTATAGATTAAGGAGTCTCTGATACTTTCTGGTCTAGTAATTTTTTTCAAATATCTCTCCGGGAAAAACTACTCACTCTTATACTGGCCTAATGGAAAAATTAACTCACTAGAAAATTCCAGATTTTGTCAAAATCTTTATCAAGATTCTCCCTACAAGAAGTAAACAAAATAAAGCTTAAGGGGAAAAAAAGTGATTTCAGTTCATATAATACACACTTTTTAAAAATTCCCCTAATCCTAAGGATAATGTTGGGGGCTAGTTTTAGAATACTTACTGAGCATCAAGTTGTTTAGGAATGAATCAATAAATTTATGTAGGATATGAACAAGTAGTACAAATACTTGTGCTATAAGGCCTAGAAGATTGGTTGGTAACTGCCTTCTTTAGACTTCAGTACCACCAGGATGCTTAATTGTCTTTTTCTTACAAAAAAAAAAAAAAAAAAAAAAAAATTCAGGGACCTGTATTCAGCATTCAGTCTACATCAGTGTCAAGACAAGGTCTAACAATGATAAAATATGACATAAATAGATGGGAATATAATAGAAACAATCTTGAATCTATGTGCAATTTCAAATATCTTATTTCAAATATGAATTTCAGTATGTTTGGTTTGAATGACTAGCCACTGAGGAAAACATTCTTCATGTATTTAGCAAGGGTAGTATCTATCAATGCATCAAAAATATTTCTTAAATATTTTGAATGAAGAGGCGACACAGAAAAACTCAGCATGAAAAGTAACACTTGGAGTTCTACCTACCTAGATTGTATCTAAATTCTCAGCAGCAAGCAGGAGACTCAGAAAATGCTGACTTTAATTACAAACTTTATTTGTCAATACAATTCACAGTTTATACATGGTGCATTCCACCATATGAATTTTCGGAACAGTTATTTGAGAAAATGGGTGTAGCTTTCTTTCTAAAAGAGCCTGACTTTCTAAAATTTTGGTTAGAATTTTTTTTAACTTTATAAAAGTACCTTTTACAAGTTAACTGAATATTTACATTTCTAGCTTAAATTTAAATTTTGGAAAATAAGCATCTATTAGTTTTTTTTTTTTTTAAAGATTCTGGGTTTATTTTTCAAGACTGTAATCTGAATGCCACTTATTCAGATACAGCTCCCACCACCCCACACCAAAAAGTAAAAGAAATCAGTTTTGCAATTATATTTAGGGAAATTATTTTCTTTCTGCATTTTAAAAATTATATATATACAATGTACAGCAGATCTAAGTATGAAAATAAAGGAAAGGGTAGCAATTTATGGGGTGTATTTACTGAATTTTTTCTGAATCTTGGAGCCATCCAAAGAATTACAGGATATAAAATTAAACTAAAAAGAATAATCAGCCTCTTTTATGTAAAAACAAAACAAAACAAAACAAAAACAACAAAAAAAAACAAAACACAGCAAACTCTCAAAATTTAAATTGTGCTATAACAGCTTTTTCTCTAATGTCAGAGATGAATTATGCCTACAATCTGCATTTTTCCATGTGCAAAGTCACAGTGATCCCAACTTCAACTTCTGCCCTCACAGCCAAGTCACAACTCCAAAGGTACACCCACGGAAGGCGAGGACTGTGCCCTGCACTCACCACTGTGCCACCCCCTCTCTCTGGCAAAAGTCACCCAAGGAAAAGAAAGTTACATAAGCCTTTCATACATCAAAAAGCAATTAGAAGCTGGCAGTATACTGTTTATTAGCAAATACTTGTAACACATTATTTTGCTATTATCTTTCCATCAGAATGATAATTCACACCCAGTGTTTTAAATCACCTCAAATAATATCCATTTTTAACAGTTTTCTTCTGTCAGGTCACTTATATATAGATAGATTTTCTTCTTCTGACTTTAAAAAATGTATAGTTATTAATAAATGATAAATTCCAAATACTGCCAGGAAAAAGGGGATTGTTTGGGAGCAGCCAATTTTACCAGCCTGGTCATAATTACAGTGTATATATGTACCACTGGTACCTGAGTCAAATAAATACTCAGAGGGGCCACCTCTGCACCTCATTTCTCTGCAGTGCCTTTAACGCTAGGCAACGCTGAGTGTTGCTTCAATGTCCATCTAATTTGGCATCTATTTCTTCTTCGGGCATCATCACTTCAGTCATTTTACACACTGTTTCCAGCAAGGTATGGTATTCAAACGGGAGAACTGGGGTAAAAGACTGCAGAGGTGAGCCTAGGGGTGGGGGCAGGGAAGGAGAAACCACACATTAGCTAGAGAGGTTCTGTTTCTTCATAAGATAAGGCACTGACTGAAAATTTCTTAGGTAAAAGGCTGCATGAGAATTTCTTGTCATTTACAAAAAAAAAAAAAATGTCATCCATAAATGGTCCATATCTAGGCTCAGTTAGGTAGACCCTGAAAAGTTAAGGACTGATCCCTCAAAGCTACATTGTTACCAGAAACAACTCTAATTCATTCTGAGGCCTTATGGCACATTAGGGAAAGAGAGAGGAAAACAGTCTGGGCACAAAAAGGCATCAGACATTGCTTGTCATTCCACTCATCAAAGAAAGTGGACCAATCCACAAGCATCATCAGAAAGAAAGTGCTGGCTCAGAATTCCACCTTTTCTTGATGGTAGATGACCATGATGGGTGTATCTATTTTGTTCCCCTTTGAGCTCATGCACAATTTAAAAAATGCTACCAGCAACAGTCATAAAGAGCATAGAGAAGTCCTCACCTATGGCTATGCCTAAGGTTCTTCAAAGAGAGGGCTATTTAATGTTCTCAATCACAGCAATCTCTTCGCCAGCACAGTGTGGTGTCAAACCATTCAGATAGATACTGTCAGTCTTCAGTAAGGGAGGCAAGACATCCCTCTCGCTGGTCAGATGGTTCACTGACAGGGTCCTCCTACAAGGAGTCAGCTCCTGGTTGTGGTTTCCAGCCAGTTCTGCCGAGAGCTTCCGCTTGATGGAGGTGGCGCGCTGGAACTTGTCATAAATCTCCACACTCAGTCGCCTCCTGGTTTCTTTGAATTCGGCTGTGACGTTGGCTGTCCACTCAGCAGCGTGTGCTCTGAACTCTCCCACCTGGAGCATACAAGCAGAGAAAAGATAAAGGTGATCAACACACCAATCACCATTTTCTGTGCTTTATCTTCCATTCATTTCATGTTGGGATTTTAAAAATAAGAGTGGAGTAATCTTTAGCAGCACTGGTGGTCTGAGAATTGATGAAATTAGGCAGGGTATACATAGCATGATTCTATATTATATAGATATGGCTCTAAAATTAATCTATGCACTTAAACTCTATGAATCAAATTATATTTCCGGGGCTCTAGATGTGCTTGTTTTTTATACAGGAATCTTGTTGAAATTTCTGATGCTGTGAAAAGGCAATCTCTAGCTTTTTTAAAACATTTTTAGTATTTTTTTCATTTCTATCTAATGTCAAGAAGTATTCGAATGTAGAAAAGGCAGTAAGATATAATAGAAGGAGGAAGACAGAATAAGAGTATGCAATATGAACCCAGGTGACCTTGGTTGGTTCTGAAAACAGCGAGGCTGTTTGCTCAGATGTGAACCTAGTTTTCAGAGATTAGAAATGGTGTGTGCAATAGCTTTGTATCCAACCTCATATTAGTCATTTAGGAGTTCTCTCTTTCCTAAATTAGAAACAAAATATTTTGTTTCTGCTTTCAGGGAATGCAAAGAATAATAACTGGCAAGTCCACTTTGAGGCCCAATTGGGAAACAGTTAAGCCCAAGGCACAGTTTCTCAATAAATGTTTGTGGAATCCATGAAGTTACTCAAGCTGTGAGCTGCCATCTCCTCAACTGTAGAATAGACATCTTCACAGTACACACCTAACAGGGTGGCTGAGCTAATGCATTTTACAAACTGCAAGATTTTATGCATTTATTGTTATGTAGTTCTCTTTTGAGAATTAAAGAAAAAATTTTTGCCATGTCTTAAGCATGTATATGACAAAGTATATATATAACATGTACATACATAACATTTACACATATATGCACATGTTATATATATATGCTTTGTCATATACATGCTATATATATAACATGTTATATATATGCTTTGTTATATACATGTTATATATATGCTTTGTTATATACATGTTATCTACATCTTTGACCTCTTTCAAAACTGTGTTCATATGTTTGTGTCCTAAAACAGAAAATATGACCAGTCCTACGGGAACCTTTATAATCCTCTTAACTAACCAGAATTTCATAATCTAGACTTATCACTTGGAATAATCCCTATTATGGAACAACTCCTCCATTTTCTTCTAGTACTTCTGGTTTCAGTTTCAAACCCACTGAACTCATTTTGTAAGTAACACAGGCTCTCCCTTTCCTCACAAGCAAGTAACTATAGCTCTGTTTAATGTATTTAATTTTTGCTCTCTTGATTTTATTTTTTAAAAAATCAACATGAGAAATATAACTGATAGTGTCTAAATGTTTATAATTACCTGAATTATTGGAGAAGATAGATATGTACATATATTACAATATGATGTGTACATATACTTGGAAAGCCATAGATATGTGTGTGCGTGTGCCTGTGTGTGTGTGTATCTATGTACTCAAAAACAGAAATGAAACTTCAGGTATCCAAGGCAGACAGGAGGATGGTACATGGCAAATCAACTCTTTTTTATCCACACATAATCAGACATACACATTTGGGGATCTACTTTTTATTTTAACAGGACTTTTACTTCCTATTTATCCTGTCCTAACAAGAAATAATTGCTTGATATCTAGCAAAATCAAGCTTTCCTTAATCACTGAGGCAAGTTATGGGAAGCTTGCTGGGAAAAAGGTGCTAAATCTACAGGAATTTATCCTGGAGATACTTACTATTCCTATAAAGGACCCTGTCCATCTGTGCTTAGCTATATAACTGATTACTAAACATGTAATTCTGTTCGGGGGACTCCCAGGTTAGGAAAGGACGGTACCTGTCAGTGGTAACAAATACCCAATCATTCGGATTTGGCTCCCTACAAATTCCATACAGACTTACAAATAAACCCTCCTACAGTTTATATTATTTTTCTATTTTTTACCTAAGTCATGTCTCAAGTCTTGGGGCACTGTCAGAACTGATGGAGCTAAAATGAGATCTATTCTATCAGCTTTATTTTGGTTACCACCAGCCTCTTACCTCACAGCCAATCTTTCATGAACAGAAGGGCTGTGGACTTTCACAGAACCCGCCCCCACTTTACTTTGATAATGGTCTTTTTTTGTTTTATCTTAAAAAATACTTTCTTTTTTTTTTTTTTTTTTTTTTTTTTTTTGAGACTGAGCCTTGCTCTGTCGCCCAGGCTGGAGTGCAGTGGTGTGATCTTGGCTCACTGCAACCTGTGCCTCCCAGGTTCAAGCCATTCTCTTCCCAAGTAGCTGGGATTACAGGCTCCTGCCACACCCACCTAATTTTTGTATTTTTGGTAGAGACAGGGTTTCACCATGTTGGCCATGTTGGTCTTGAACTCCTGACCTCAGGTGATCTACCCACCTTGGCCTCCCAAAGTGCTAAGATTACAGGTCACCCATGCCCAGCTTTATCTTAAAAAATACCTTTTTCATATAAAAGTAATAGGCTTTGTGCATCAAAATTCAAATGTTCACCTATTTACTTGCTGATTTTCTGTCTTTTCTAATGAGAATGTAAGTGCTATACACATCCTCAGCATCTAGAACGTAGTATGTAGCACATTTCCAATAAGTACCTGTTAAATGAATAAATATATCACTAGAAATACACATACTCTGTAATCTCATACCACAATGATAGCAATTAGCAGTAGTATTTATGCACACATGCTATCAATTGTTTTTCTTCTATCTGTATACATTAATCTTACTTTCTGACTCTTCTTTTTTTTTATTGCATTTTAGGTTTGGGGGTACATGTGAAGAACATGCAAGATTGTTGCATAGGTACACACATGGCAGTGTGGTTTGCTGCCTTCCTTCCCCTCACCTGTATCTGTCGTTTCTCCCCATGCTATCTCTTCCCACCTCCCGGAGGGGAGCACTTTCTGACTCTTCTATCTCAATTACCATCAATATTTTGCAAAAAAGAAAAAAAAAGGTCTTATAGTATATACATTGTTTTGTACATAGTTTTTTTCCTCATCCAATTTTAATCCTTTTTCCATGTCAGTACTCATTATTTCACTCATAGTTTACATCAGCTGCCTGGCACTCCCCAAGGATAATGGTTGTGGCATGATTTAATCATTCCCCTATTGGTGAACATTTGGATAGATTTAATTTTTTTAGCTATTAAAAATAACACTTCCATGAATATTCTTGTACCTATATCTTTGCAAATGTGTACAAAGTATTACTGCAAGTGGAAACACTGGGCCAAAAGGCGCAAGTATCAAGATGGCTTGTCTGTGTTCCCACCCAAATCTTATCTTGAATTGTAGCTCCTATAATTTCTATGTGTCATAGGAGGGAACCTGGTGGGAGATAATTGAATCATGGTCAGGGGTGTCTTTCCCATGCTGTTCTCATGATAGTAAATAACTCTCAGGAGACTTGATGGTTTTATAAAGGGGAGTTCCCCTGCATTCACTCTCTTGCCTGCTGCCATGTAAGAAGTCCCTTTGCTCTTCCTTGGCCTTCTGCCATGATTGTGAGGCCTCCCCAGCCATGTGGAACTGTGAGTCCATTAAACCTCTTTCCTCTGAAAACTGCCAAGTCTCAGGTATGTCTTTATTAGTAGCATGAGAACAAATACTGATATTTTTTGATTTTGCAAACACTGTGAATTTTCTGTCTGATTTTACTGGAGTGGCAGAATAACGTGCTGGATCTAGACCTCTAAGTTTGAATCCTGGCTCCCCCACATATTCATTGTGTGTCCTAGGCTAAATTTTTTAACTTCTTTAGCCTCAGTTTCTTCTGTGAAATGGGGGAAACAATAGAATCCTCCCTATAGAGTTGGTATAACAAGTAAGTTAATATACTGAAAAGAGCAACACCAAGCACATAGCAGGCACTAGATACACATACAAATTTTACACAATCTCATGACATAGACCTGTATTGCCAGTCAGAGTCTTTTTTATTATGGGTGTCTACTGAGCACTATTTTTAGACTCAGAATTCCCAGCAGCCTCACCATTTCCTTTCTGCACACTTAGATGTAACCTCTGCATTTTTGTAGTGAAAGGCACCTTATCATTGGCACCCACATAGAAAGTATTTTAAATATTTTAATCATCTCTTTATTACAATTTGAATCTTAAGTGGTCCCGATAAGTTGGACAAAGAATGAAAACTTCTTAGATTTGACTGAATTCTCTTGAGACGTTTCACAAAGTCACTGGGATCTCACAGGTTGCACCTGGCAAGCATACAGGAATCAGGAACATGTAGCACCGAGTGCTTTTACAAGTTAGTGATTTCTGCCAATTGGGAAAAGGCTGAATGCAACAAAAGTTCAGACTTGTTGAAGTCCATCAATTATTATTAATACTTTCTTATCTTTAATTGCATTCAATTTCTGTCAGGGTGGTATTTTTGTCCAATTTTAGACACATACATATATATTTTATCATTTCTCTAGAATTTCCAGAGGTTGGAAAGTAAACTCTGCAGGTCATAAGAGCTGTAGTAACAATCTGTCAGAAGTGGGGCAGAACAGGTGGAGAGATGAATGGGAGCCTCACCTCCTAGCTCTGTAACCGCATTCTGTGTGCCCACAGCCATGCATTTAACCTTCTTTGAACTTCAGATTCCTTATCTATAAAATAGGGATAATAACCTATTTCACAGGACAAACAAATTAGATATATATCCAGCCAGGAGCTACGTAATGATTCTTTTGGTCTGCATATACAACAGTGGTACAATAAAATTATAATACTGTATTTTTACTGTATCTTTTGTATGTTTAGGCATGCTTAGATACACAAATATTTACCATTGTATTACAAGTGCCTGCAGTATTCAGTATAGTAACATGCTGTATAGATTTGTAGCCTAGGAGCAATAGGCTATACTATACAGCCTATGTGTATAATAGGCTCTACCAC